TACCTTGGATAGTCAGCAGACATTCATGCATGGGGTTTAAGGTATACTAACCGCCACCTCTTGGTTTCTTGACATCCTGGCTCAAACTATCATCGGACAAGACACCACCAGCAGATCTCGATATTACGTGACGTCTAAGCATCGCTAGAATCTCGGTATTCTTCCATCTTGCAGGTACAGGTCGATAGGCAGGCTTAAATGTTCCGACCGTTTGTGCCCATTCTCCACTTCTCGGCTTACCCTGCCGCCATTCATCATCAGTCTCAAGCTTTGGAGCTCGCGATTTGTCGAGTCCCGAAGCATTTGCTGTTGCGCCTTCCGGTTCTCTGCCCGCGCCTTCGGCTGTCTCTTGTGACGTGGGAGTAGGTTCCTGAGTCGCCCAGTAGTATATATCCCAGTCATTCTCGTCTAGAAAGCGATCGTATTGTGTCATTTGTGCCAAAGTCATATCACGCAAGTGGGCCTCCGCGAATGTAGACATTAGGAGATCGCTTTCAAGGGTGCCTCTTTTACGGCTTTGATCTATGAAGGAAGGGAGTTAGTCAAGACCCTTTAAAGGTGGAGGACAAGCGAACATAATAACCTAGCTCTCATGGTATTTCCATCTTCACCTGAACGTCGCAGAGGCTCAACTCTGAATTCCCCTCCTTGAAGTTCTCCAACGCCCAGCTCGCCGCCATTAGATGTCTCTCCTGCCTTGATATTGGCATTGAGACCCGAATCTGGCACGCCCTTCTGTGTGCCGCCGGTCATGCGCTCAGTATTCTCTGGCACGGAGTCTTTTGGCACAAAGTCGGGTTCAATTGATGTGATCAACTCTGGAGGAACTTTCTGCTTTCCCACGGATGGCATCTTACTGGCAATCGTCGAGTTCGTGCTTGTTAAATGCGGATTGAGAGGTTTCTCTGACTGTATCTTGCGATGCCCTTCTGTCCCTTCGTGCTCCTTCGCCTTCCCAGGGCCCACCATTCGGCGGGTGGTCCTTGAGATAGGACGCTTGAAGGCCAAGGAAGGTCGGACAACGCGAAATACCATCCTGGTTGAAGACATATTATGGTAGTATCCTGTGAATAGTATGTGTGTAGAGTTGACGACTACCTGAGAGCTGTGTAAAAGGTAGCTATGAAAGTCTACCTCGGCCTGTTCGCGTCATTGACTTTTCTACAGGGATGTTCGACATCACGTGTACGGGGTACAAGAAAGACATTTATGGATGGGTTCAATAACCATGAAAATCGAAGGAAATAGTATCTACGATTGAGAAAATCCCTCTCGAGGACTCTGTGCATTTGGGTACGAGCTGGATTGACCTTATTTAAGCTAAGGGGGTCTAGGTTCCCAGTGACCCTATGTACTAAATTATAACCCCTTAAAATATTAAGCGAGAGGACTTTAAGCGAAAGGTATTATCATCTTGTGCATAATTTATTAGTTCTTTATCTCGGAATGTTCGCTGAAGTAGGCAGAGAAAATCTTTATAGTACGTAGTACTGGGGCGAATACTCCGTATGGCGAGGAGAGAGTACTAGAAAATCTTTAGTTCAGGTGGGACTAGCACAAACTCTAGCGTAATCTTAGTTTATCTATAAAATGATACAAGATCATGAAGGCCACCAGAAGCTCAAGAGCTATGTTTTCAAACATACTAGAGTAGAAGCAAATTATCATCCTTCAATCATCTTCGATAGATTCCCCATGCTCCTAGTCTGGACCTGTCAGGCCATAAGAAGTGACCCCCCTTCTGCAACCCCCTCCATAAATCCTGAGACTCGCATCCTTTTGAGCAAACCGATGGCCGATATGAAATATCTCTTCTTGCCGCGAAGGTGATCCTGCGCCAGGAGACATGAAAGGCGTCGTTTATGTGAACATCACCCTCTTTTCGGCCTGATCTGCGAGGGTTGATCCATAGTTGTAATTCGCGAACCCCTAAGAGCAATACTTGCAGGTGCTAAGTTTGAACTTGAACTCGGCAGCGGGTAATTCGAGTATTGCCGCGACGTGTCGGATTCATACGAGTGAGTGGCATTTGCTTCTGTAGAGTAACGTGCAGTATAAGATGTGGATGGAGCTGGTTCGGTAATGCCCTTTGTTGCATCGCTGAAATTTCTACCCGAAATCTGTGATCCGTGGTCACTTGTTGAATGTTGATGATCCGGCTTTGAAAAATTCATCGCAACTGAGTATCCAATAGATTGATCAAGAAACTCCTGGGGTACTAGGTATGACTCCTCGCTGTATGCGGGCTCATGTGCAAGCTCTGCTGCTGCGTGCCGATGGAATATGTCCACTTCTTCACTGTCACTACCAAACACAAATTGCCTCCAAGCCTCATCCGCGCTGTTCTCCTGAGGTTCAATCGATTGTTTTGGTTCGGGAAGTGATAGTACTGGGGTGATTGTCTCGTCTTTGGGGACAAGCCGCCCAAAACTTTGCAGATTTTTCTGCCGTTCGAGAGGCGAGGTACTAGAACCTATATGATCGCTACTTCGATTCGATGGTGAGGATGGTTGGGATTGAGACGCTTGGCTCTCGTCGTCGCATGCTAGATCGGGGATTGGCGAAAGATCCTTGAAGTTCGACTGCGGTAATATTGACGAAGCAGATGGACTGCTCTGAAACGAAGACTCCTGTGGAGGTGATGACTGCAACTTATCTATATCTGCGGTATAGTCATTAACCCTATCAGACGCAGCATATGAGCCTAGTCCTAGCTCCAAACTGTTTCCAAGATCCGAGTGTAGCAGTTCCTCCAAAGAACCGCAGTCATTGTGGGTGGGAGAACCATTCTCGTTGTTTTCTGCCATTGGGTGCGTCGGTGCTGCACTAACTCCAGGACTAATCATTTCGATTTGCTCTTGCATGTTATCTTCTTGACTTGCAATTCCACCACTCAATGCATCCTCTGGCAAATTGAAGGCTGTCATCCATGTTTCCCATATCTTGTTGTCCATGACCTGTGAGCTAGTAACAACTGGCTTGGGTCGTCCAACTTGTGCCAAAGTGCTTTGGACTATGTCCGATGAGTCACTGCGAAGAATAGAAGCTACCTTGGAGCTTTGAGGCTTTGGGTGTTGTAACGATGCCGAGGATGAGCGGAACTGGGGTTGTGGAGTTGACATGCCTCTATTTTTTGATCCAATCGTCGAAGGAGGACCCAGAGACTGCAAACTGTTCATGCATCTGGACTCGTTGTCTAACAGCATAATGTCGAGTGATTCGGTTTGTGGCCGAAGAGATTGTGGTTGCGCTGAGCCATTGCTATATCTCTGGCTTTGTGCTGAACTTGAAATCCCAGGAAGGATCACTTTATTGCCAACGGAGATCTTGACATCTGTTGGTCTAGATTTGCGGCTAGCTTTCTGTTCAAGTCCTTCCACCGGTAGTGGCTGATCCCTCGAAGCAACTGGTGATAAGATCTTGGACCGTAACTTGCCACTATATTGTGCCCTATGACCATCTGAAACCTTTCTTCGCCTTCCAATTTGATCATCCTGCCTTGGAGGAACATATTTAAGGCGCGGTGCGCGCTGGAAGCCAACACTCACCCAGTCGCCTGTCAGAAGGATCTTTCTCCTCTTCTGCGCGAGCGAATCCAGTTCGTCGATATCATTTCCATCCTCAGAGCCCGTCACAGAGGAGTCTCGCTCCCTTTCCCGCTTCTTTGCGTCCGCCGATCTTGCGGAATCGTGGATGGCTACGTCTACCATGCGGAAGTTGCCCGAAGCTGGTGAATATTCCTGGTGAGCTGTGTGTTCGTGGGCTGATCTAGAACCAACCACGACACGACTGGAGGTTTGCAACGAACGCTGAGCAAAGCATTGTGTCTCTACATTCCTGCTGCTTTGTTCCAGAGGTGGCGAATCCCTAGTAGTACAACGACTTGGACCCTCATAATGCTCTCTGATGCGGTCAAGATTTGGATGCTTCGGAGGTGACCTTTTCTTTCCAGCGAGAAGATTTGTCTTGACTTTTGCGAAATGCTGTTGCTGCCGGTGCTTCGCAGTATCAGAAGCATTAGAATGCCTTTGTAGGCGGCCGCCTGTCCAGTTCATGATGGACTTGGGAAGAGGACAAGAAAAGCATCAATTTGCGAGTAAATATTGAGAAAATTAGTAAGATTAAACGTAAAGAATGACTATATGAAGATGATAGAGAAGAGAGACATCGCAGAGGCAATGTATGTGGAAAGGAAATCTAGAGTCCGAGTGGTCATGGAATTGTGCATCTACCCGAATTTGGCCCGCAAGCGCCAAGGCTGTTTGCGCGGTTACAACAACCAACATGATAGGACAAATATGTCTTCATTTCTTGATGACCGTTCAAGGATTCACATAATGTTCTCCTGTCATTTTGGACCTGTATCTTCACCAAGTGATTTACTAGGTACATCCCACTATACCATTTTCGAGCCACTAATCTATCCTTCATTCCAAAGGAAGGATAAGGAAGTGGAGGCGAACCTTTATGGGAGGGCAACTTAATCATTCTCTCGCCTAGTATCAAGGCCTTATGAGCCTTCAAACAGTAGTCCGAGAATGAGAGTAATAATAAGACTCCGCGATATTCTGCCCTGTCTCTTTTTGGTCTTCGAGGGGAGAGGAGAATTAATCTGTAAGGGACCGCCAAGGTTGCCGGCAAGCTGCATGTGGCAGTGAATGGAAGAAAGCAGATGGCGTATAATCGATGAAACCTGCATCCATTGTGAGTTGAGTTGATGCATGCGATCCTCTGCATTGAGAGTGTTTTAGCTCTAAGGTATCTGTAATCTGATTTCGGAATGAGAGGTGAAAGGGATGTTGTCGGAGTTTTGTACGGCTAAAGTACGGCTGTACAGCGGCCGCGTCGAGCCCTGCTCGAAGAGAGAGGCTAGCTTACGTGTGCTTAATAAAGCCAAATATCCAAATTAAATGAACAAATCAGCTTCCACCCTCACGAGGTGGGTAGACAAAAACCTCTCCATGGCGTTACGGTCAACCCCTTTGACTGTAATGGAGATGGGTGGTGTGGTGTAATGGTAGCACGTCACGTTGTGGTTTTCCCTTGCTCGTACAGGACTTTCATATTAGCCCGTGATAATCGGGGTTCGATTCCCTGCACCGCCATGTGCAAACATGGATTGTTCAAATGAGGTGGTTTGATCCCACTATTGAGTCTTTTTTTTGCGATTTTAACATAGTTTTCCATCTTTGACCAGTGGAGTTTGATGGGGTGTCATGTGACAGTATAGTATGGTCCGTGCTCATCCTTAGCGAGCTGCAGTCTGAGACCACCAGGGGTTGCAGGAATTCCGTTCGCACCTTACATAAGCACAACTTCAGTGTCAACAGTGGGTGACAGAATTGAGTGTGCTTTAGCCGACCCCACCAAAAATTATACCTAGTACTTTATTAACTATATATATAACTATATAACCAAATCACCACTTATTACCACGAATAGGGCCTCCTTTTGATCGCACAAGCTTAGCGCATCTTCTAGGAAGGTCTGCTATACGATGCCTAATCTCATCCATTGTGATTTTAGCTCATTCGTCTTATAAAGCCTCCCTTATTTCTTTCTCTAAATCAAAGATTTTTTTACGTATACGCTACTTTAGAATAGCTCAAATGCCTTTAATAGGGTTTAAATCAGGGCTCTAGGCAGGGTGAGATAAGTTAGTAATATTCCTAGCCTTTTTATACTCTTATATAAGGCCTTCTTTACGTATACTATAAGAAGGGTTACTATCCTCTTATAAAAGCCACGGTTTTCTATTAATCTAGTATATAGATTTAATAGTAGCGTAATAGACTAGTAGAAGGTGTTTAACGTAATATTTCTATGTTATTATATTACCCTTTACTTACTTTTCTACCTTATGTAGCTTACTAGCCTCCTAAAGCCTCACTCTTTCCTTGTATTCTTCTTCACTCTCAGTCTTTGGACGACGGCGAGGGTACTAAGGGTAGGGGACATCTTCTTCGCCATCTTAGCCGTCGTTCTCGTCGTTATAGAAGACTAGTCGTTCTACTTTACCGTGCTAGGAGATCTACGTAGCTATATGAAACTGTACGCCTTTTAAGGGAGGGCGCTATTTAATATTCTTAGGTAAATCGCGTGTTCCTTACTCTCTTAAAACACGCCCTTGTGATTATGATATCGGATCTATATACGCTTTATCTATATATATAACGTGATCGAAAAATCTAAAGAGAGCGTCGTAGATATACCTTTCTCTAAATACTATACGCGTATCACGATTTACGCGCGATATAACCTTCTTAATAAACGTGTAAAGATACCGTCCGCCGCCCTTTATATACTCTTTAATTTTCCGTTATAATTAGCGCTTTCTAATAGGTATATTATAATAGCTAATCTGTGTAACGAGTGGCTGTTTTTGTATAGGATTCGTCGTTGTAACTAAGCTCTTACAAAGCTCTTTTGTTACTCGAGACTTACGTCCAAGTACTATAGATCTCTTCCTAGGCATATGCTTTGCCTCCTCTCCTAATACCTTATATTCTACTCTCCATTTACGGCCACAGCTGTAACTAATGCCGTATTCATATAAAATATGATTTATTAGATAGCGATAGCCCTACCGCGCTAGTAAGTCTATGAATTTAAAGCGACGACGTGATGTTACATTCGCACGGTTCAGGCGTTTAATTAGAGATACTCGTAGTGGATTTTAACGCGTTAGTAGTGCTATAGTTATTGATTATATTTAGTTATTTATATTATCTAAAAATCACGATATTTTAATTTAGTAGGGCTGACATAAGCACACTCAATTCTGTCACCCACTGTTAGTGTCAACAGTGGGTGATGACGTACGGTACAAAACACCAAAAATCTGAACATCGCGACTTTTACTATTAAGTAAACAATACAATTACAGCTTAATATAGTACCACTAACACGTAACAACCCCCTCCGCACACCTTCCCCTGAGCCTTTAGCTAATAACTAAGCTACTACGACAAGGAAATGTAAGTTCTTCGACGTATTAGCTCACTACGGTGATTCTCGCTCGTTACGATCAATATCTAAGTAGTGTAAAATTTCAGAGAGAACAGGCCGTAGGTGGCGCTAGGAACAGCTTAAATTAGGGTCTATAGTAAAGAGGAGAACCCGTCCTAAGTCTTTACAACTTAGTAGACCCTCTAGAGTTACTAAGTCAATGTGTAAGATGTTAGTTTCACCTTCACGGAATCCTATTAGGAAACAACCTTACGATACATAAATCGCATACTATAATATACCTATTAGACCACGCTAATTGTAAAGAAAACTTAAGGAATATACTAAGGGCGGCGGGCGATATAAGTGTACTTTTATTCAAAAGGTTATTTTAAGTAAAAACAAGAAGAATAGAGTAGCGTACGGTGAAGAGCACGTATACGATTCCCTCTTTAGATTCTTCGACCACATCGTCTATACCGATAAAGCACATATAGACCCTACTTCGTAGGCACAAGGTAAAGTGCTCCGTGAGTAAGGAACACGCGATTTACCAGAAAATATTAAGGAACGGCCCCCTTTAAAGGGTGTACGGTTTCACATTACTACTTAGATCTCGTAGTAGGGGAAAGCAGAGCGACTTACCTTTTATAACGACAAAAACGATGCCTACGATACGATAGAGGCTCCTCCTTACCCTTCTCGTCCTCGACGTCGTCCTACAACTGAAACAGAGGAGGAATATAAGCTACGTTTACAAGAATAGGAAGTAGGGAAGCCACATGTGGTAGAGAAGAAGGTACAAGGCAATACAATAACCTAAAAGTACTACGTAGAGAAGCTATTACCTATCTATTGTGATACTATTAAGTCTATGCGCGAGATTAATAATAAACCGTGGCTTTTGTAAGAGGATAACGACCCTTCTCACGGTATACGTAAAGAAGGCCTTACGTAGTAATACAAAAGAGTAAGGGGTATTAATAACCTTATACACCCTACGCAAAGTCCTGATTTAAACCCTATTAAGGGTATTTAAAGTATTCTAAAGCAGAGAATTAGGCATAGAATCTTTGACGTAGAGGAAGAGATGAAGGAGGCTTTACAAGAAGAATGGTCAAAAATCACTATGGAGGAGATACGTGATCGTATTACAGATATGCCTAGGAGGTGCGCCGAGCTTATACGATCAAAAGGAGGCCTAATTCGTGGAAATAAGTGGTGATTTGGTACTGTAATTGTAGTTTTGGTGTATTAATATATATTTGTTGATTTTGGTGTTTTGGACCGTGCGTCACGAGTTCTGTCACCCACTGTTGGTGTCAACAGTAGGTGACATGATTATTTACACACGGGCCAAAAACACCAAAAATAAAAATATCGTGACACTTCAAAAAGTAAATAATATAATACAACTTAATCATGACTCCACTAACGCGCTCTAATCCTTTCCGAACTCCCTCCCCTGAACCTCTTACTAGTAAAGAAGCGACAACTACTCGGCGGTGTAGATTCTATGATGTATTACGCCGTAGTGGAGGAATACGCTCTCTACGTTCGATCTCGAAGTCCTGTAGAATTACAGAAGGGACAGGCCGATATTAGAAGAAACAACTTACAGAACTTGGTTCAGAAGGAAGGAGAAAGACTAGGCAAAGGTCTCATATACTCGGCGGGAAATCTAAGGTCACAAAGCAGATGTGTAAGACCCTAGTGTCGCCCTCAAATCCGGTCCGAAAACAACCCTACGAAGCACAGATTGAATACCATGGAATTCCTGTCGGAAAGCGCTAATTACAACGGAAAATCAAAGAACATACTAAGAAGGGTGGACGATATTTGTGTGCCTTTGTTAAGAAGGTTATTTCCATAAAAAATAAGGATGCGAGGGTAGAATATGGCGAACAACACATTTTCGACGCACTCTTCGGTTTTTTCGACCACATTATCTACATAGATGAAGCGTATGTAGATCCTACTTCGTAGGCACAAGGTAGAGTTCTACGAGAGTAAGGGACACGAGATTTGCCAGAGAATATTAAAGAGCGGCCTCCTTTAAAAGGAGTAAGATTCTATATCGTAGTATGGATCTCTTAGTACGGAAAAGTAGACTAACTACTCTTCTATAATGATAAAGAAGATGCACAAGACGTAATAGAAACTCCTCCCTACCTAATATATCTGCGTCGTCGTCTAACAACTGAAACAGAAGAAGAATTCTAGGAAAGAGTGAGGATTTAGGAGGCAGGGAAGCCACATGTAGTAGAGAAGAAGGTTCAGGGCAATGTAATGACACAGAAATACTATGTAGAGAAGCTACTGCCTATCTACTATGATGCTATGGAATCTATACGTCGGATTAACAATAAATCGTGGCTTTTATAAGAAGATAGAGACCCTTCCCATGAGATACGTAAAGTAGGCCTTACGTAAGAGTATAAGGATGTAAGAGGAATTCGTAACCTTAAGCATCCTACACAGAGCCCTGATCTAAACCCCATAGAGGGTATTTGGAGTATTATAAAGTAAAGGTTAAGGCGTAGGATCTTTGATTCTGAGGAGGAAATAAAGGACGTATTATAGGAAGAATAGAGCAAAATCACTATAGAGTAGATACGGGATAGAATAGCTGATCTACCTAGGAGATGCGTAGAGCTCTTACGATCAAAAGGAGGTCCTATCCGTGGAAATAAGTAGTGATTTGCGAATACAATTACAGAAATAACTGAAAATATAATGTCTATTGAGTTTTGGTGGTGTTGGCCCGTGCGTAAATAATCATGTCACCCACTATTGGTGTCACCAGTGGGTGTCAGAATTAACGAACCACGCTAAAAATAGGGGGAAAATCAAATAATTACATGACGACTTCTTGCTTTAACAATACAAATCAATCAATCAATATACCTGCTATGGCCCCCCGAACGCGTGCAAATGATAGGTTTACTCCTCCTCCAGATCCTAGTTATCATTGCCCAGCTTCTACTCGAAAAAGAATCAGGTTTTTCGACGCGTTTGACCGAAATCGTAATTTGAAGTCATTTCGTCAGATCTGCCGCGACGAAGGGGTAAATCACTGTACTGGACTTCGATGGAAGCGTCAAAGAGAGAATATAGGGGCTTTAGCTCTACGTACAACTCGTGGGACCTCGAAAAA